ATCAGAGAAACAAACTCACAGAACCAAGGCAGCACAAGAGGTATAAATATAGTCTGCAATGAATAGTGGCCTTACACTTCTTCAGGCCAAGTTCTGTAACTTTAAAGGCTGATCTGCCTTTTAAGAATTACAGGCAATTGTAGGTTACTGTTCCTCTAGCTGGCTATTTTTTGTTGCCTGACTAAAAAATTGGTTTCAATTATCAACCTCAGTATAAAATGACAAAATGGTTTCATAGTTAACATAAAAAGAAACACTATCAGTGCTTCAGGGGATACTTTTCACAAAAATAGAATTTCCCAGTTCTTCTTCCCCAGAAATAAATTTCAAAAGGTTAAAAAGAATAAACAAAGATAACTAATGTAAGACTGCATTTTCCTCATGGACAGTGACAGGACCAATACTCCAAAGAGAATCATATCTCAAGACTATTCTACAGATCATAGAGCAGTGATTTTCAACCTTTTTAATCTCATGGCATATACAAACTAATTACTAAAATTCTGCAGCACACCAAATAATATATTTTTTGCTGATCTGACCAAAGAAAAATTGGCATAATTTTGATGCAGTTGTTGTGTTGACTGCTGTCATTTTTGTGACAATCTAAAGGAAAAGAGGCCAGTGCCCCTGATTAAACAGCCAGGTATTGCATGTTTTAAAAACTCTTGCACAGCACAGTGTGCCTCTTGCAGTGTGCCATGGCACAACAGTGGAAAACTGCTGTCAGAGTAAGACTAAACACTACTCTGTCAGAAATTAAAGACAAATATATTATTCCCAAGAGAAGAGTTAACCATCCTCCTTCAGCTAGCTTTGGAAAATCTTCAGAGTACAAACAAAATAGATTGCCACTTTTTCTAATGATCAGGATGACAGATTTTATTTAAAGTCATTCTAAAATGAAATTTATCATTAAAAAGGAGACTAATGAGTCTATGTATCGTTTTTACTATTTTAAATAAGATATTTTTAATAGGATCTTTTATAATTAGACCTCTTCCAAATTTATTGGTTGTATTTCTAATTAAAAAGTCAAAAATTTTAAAAGTCAAATTTAGCATAAGTTTCTTTAAATTTCTTCTACTTAGAAGCATTG